GAGAGCAGCTGACTCTTCCAAAGACAGAAGCTGTGCTGGACTGTGATGAAGAGGAGGGAGTTTGGCTGCAGTGATGTCATCCAGGTGTTTCCTGTCGCGCTCCTTCCTGTCCAGAGCAGAGAGTGGCGACGCAGTTCCAGAGGAACGCCCAGGAGACAAAGATCCTGATGGAGAGCCGTCATTTCTGCGGGGAAGTCTGGATAATATGGAGGAGAAGATGGTATTCATGAACAAAGTGAGAGAACATTGAAACAAGAGAATTATACTCATGAAACAATGTCCTCTTACTGATTTGGTTTGAATTTTTGCTTCTTGGGAGCTGCAGACCTCTTGGTTTTTTCTAGGACAGTTATATAGTGAGGCTTTTTAGCTGGCTGCTTTACAAGAAAGTAGTTATTTTTTGCTTTGCTGTTTAATTGTTCATTAAATTTATCAGTGCTCTCTTCAGACAGAGTAACTCTGTCCAAGGCATCCACAAGTTCACTTTCTTTGGTGTGATCAGAGTTCACTGCAGCTGTCTCTGCTGTGGAGACACGCTGGTCCTGTTGCTTGTCCAAAGATGTGTCCTGTGTACCATCACCTGCAGCACCCTCATTCTCTTCATTCAGGTGTGAAGCTGCTGATGTGAGGGGTGCAGCACGGTGCTGGGAAGAGAAAGCTTGGTGATACTTGGACTGTAACTCTGCTCTGGCAGCAGACATCAAGCTCTGCCTCCTTTCCTCCTCACTGCATTGTTCAATGGCGAGACGCACTTTCTCTGCAAAGTCCTGGATTTTCTTCCCTTTGTCAGGAAGAGTCTGCAAGAACCGCCTGCATAACAAGAAAAATCTGTTATGCTTCATCTTAATCAAACAATATATGCACATTGGTAACATATGTTAAAGATGCCACACAGCCATATTGTTCTGCACTTGCACTGTCACATCATCTGCACTTTACCATAATTGGACCTGCTGCTTCTTCTTTGGTGTGGTTGAGTGCCTTTAGTTAATTTTAGTTGTATATATTATTATTATTATTATTATTATTATTATTATTGTGTGTTTGTTTATTTTATATTGTATATATTTGACTTTTGCACGGGAGTTGCAATAGAAATTTCATTGAATCCCGTTCAATGACAATAAATGCTATCTATCTATATATGCAAATACACAACCAACAATGTCTTGAGTACTTGCAATGAAAAAAAATCCTGCACATACAAAATAGAGAAAAAAATCCACTTATTTTAACAAAAGATAAATAAAATGACAATATAAAAATGTTATTTACAAAACGAAAACTGATTTAAAATTAAAATCACCAGAGAAAAGCATTATGTTCACTGATAACGGTGAATATGAACGGCAGTCACCGTTATTTACAAACGTCACGACAGTTACGAACTTTCTTTACGAACGATACGACAGTTACGAACGTTATTTACGATAACGTTCGTAAATAACGAACGTTATCGTTCGTTATTTACGAACGTTATTTATGAACGTCACGGCAGTGACGAACGTTATTTTCGAACGATACGGAAGTAACGAACTTTATTTACAACATATGGCAGTTACGAACGTTATTTACGAACGTCACGGCAGTTACGAACGTTATTTACGAACGTCACGGCAGTTACGAACGTTATTTACGAACGTCACGGCAGTTACGAACGTTATTTACGAACGTCACGGCAGTTACGAACGTTATTTTCGAACGATACGGAAGTAACGAACTTTAATTACGAACGATACGGCAGTTACGAACGTTAATTACGAACGATACGGCAGTTACGAACGTTAATTACGAACGATACGGCAGTTACGAACGTTATTTACAAACGTCACGGCAGTTACGAACGATACGGCAGTTACGAACGTTATTTACGAACGATACGGCAGTTACGAACGTTATTTACGAACGTCACGTCAGTTACGAACGTTATTTACGAACGTCACGGCAGTTACGAACGTTATTTACGAACGTCACGGCAGTTACGAACGTTATTTACGTACGTCACGGCAGTTACGAACGTTATTTACGAACGATACGGCAGTTATGAACGATACGGCATTTACGAACGTTATTCACGTACGTCACGGCAGTTACGAACGTTATTTTCGAACGATACGGAAGTAACGAACTTTATTTACGAACGATACGGCAGTTACGAACGTTAATTACGAACGATACGGCAGTTACGAACGTTAATTATGAACAATACGGCAGATACGAACGTTATTTACAAACGTCACGGCAGTTACAAACGTTATTTTCGAACGATACGGCAGTTACGAACGTTATTTACGAACGTCACGGCAGTTACGAACGTTATTTACGAACGATACGGCAGTTACGAACGTTATTTACGAACGATACGGCAGTCACAAACGTTACGGCAGTTGACTGCTTAGGCTAATTAGCAAGGCCACTAATCACAGAGGATAAACAGTTATCTTGGAAAAACAATGTTACATTGGTGGAGAATACTAGATACTGAGCAGCATGTACAAGAGAATGATTGACAGTGCTAAGACCTTACCCCTGCGTCTGATCTATTAGTAACTCGCAGACCTAATCACACTTTTAGAACTTATGCTGGGTCAGCAGGTTGATTTTTTGTCCTGCCTCACTTCAGCTTGATCCCATTGATTCAGGCCTGCATACAACTTCAACACATACAGCCGCCTGCACATGAAGCCTTTTTCTTACACATTTTATGTCTTTAAAGGCTCTAATTTCCAGAGTTGTCAACCCTTGTAACCGTTTATGAGGTATAAATAAACATGTCATTTTGTGTGTATAGTGAATAAACTTTAAATATACAAATAAATTGTAAGGGAGGGAGGAAGGGAGGGGTGGATGGATGGATAAGCACCTTCTTAAGTATACATTGCTTTACCAAACTGAGACAAAACCCTGATTATATTAAAATTACTTTTTCCAAGTGGATCTCAACAAAAACGTGCTACAAAGGCATTATTAACATTTATTCATCCCTCTGATAACTAAAAAAAACACACCTGTATGAGTTCAGTAATCCATTTTTAGCTAATCTGAGAGTTAACACAAAAGCTACAATAGGAGAGAGAAAGCGAATATCATCAAAGCTGTCACTGTGCTTTATTGTACTCACCTGTTAGACAGGATCTTTTCCTGACGGAGGAGCAGCTCCCGGAGCTCCTCTAAGCTGTGGCTCCTCAGGTCTCCAACCTGTCCCTGCCGCTCTGTCCACGGTGAGGACATCGCTGCGCTTAGCTACTGACAGCCATTCGCTAACAGAGGCACCGCCGGTAGAAAAGTCAACGTGCACCGAATCTAAAAAAAACAGCTCCTAGAATAAGAATTATTAATCATTAAAAAGACGTAAAAACTGCCCGAGAAGCAGGTTTCACTCCAAACCACACATGACACAACAGTGTTTGAAAGTAGAGTCCGTTTTCTTCTTCGTTTAAGGAAGTGAAATGTCACAAACTGCACTCTGTCGCCCCCACCGTTCGACATTCATAAATACGTCGTTTCCATGGAAGCAAAAGAAGCGTATTTGCTGCCCTCTTCCGGCCACATTTGGTTAGCAGCACCACAATTGAGATTTTATGCAATATTTACGATTTTATTTTTTTTCAGACACAGAAGCACTGATATACAAGTACTTTATCATATTGTATTACAAATGATGAGTTCCATTGTTTCAAATTGTCTGCGTTATTTCTCCGTTATACTTACATTTAGAAAAAAAAACTTTTTGAACTATTTTTTTCTCTATAAAAATTAGATCTTTTTCTTTATTCAAAATATTATGATAGTTAAATATTTCTTGTCTCTCACTTCCAAAAGTGGAACTCATACATTATATCAGTTTATTACAGTCATTGAAATATTTCTTGCCTTTATTTATATATACATTAATTAATTAATTTATTACTGTGGCATACAGATGTCGTGGGCTGCACAATCATTGGGAAGACTGGTGACTGGGCAGATGTCCAGAAGATTCTCTACAAGACTGAGGAAACTGTCATCAACAGGATTCAGTGAGAAAAATGTGTCATGTACTTAAACATCTCACAGAGCAACTATTATCTCTAATCCAAAAGTGATACTTGGTAAAGTATGCTCTGACTTGGTGACACTAAAACTGAACTTTCTGTCCTACATTCAAACTAAAACCAGCCAAACAAATCACTCAGTGAAACATGGCGGTGGAGAAACAATGCTGTGAGGATGTTTTTGTTAATGAGTTAATGGGAAGATGAAAACAGGACAATCTTGGCCGAAAATCTGTTCAAAATTTTAAAAGGGTCTGTGGTGAAGGTTGTATTTCTAACAGGAAAATGAAAATAAACATAAAGTCTGAGCAACAATGAATACAGTAGATCACAGGATATTATGAAAACCGTGATTTTTTGCACAAAGTCCTGATAGAACAATGAGGTTTGTTGATATGTGATAAAATGTAATCCTATTGCAGGTTGTAAAATATCTCATATGTTCAGAGGGACGGTGGTGTTTAGATATTTCTTGTTGGCTGACCACCAGTGAAACCAGTCTGAACTTTTCCAGCTTCGCAGCCTCAGATTTTCCACAGCTGCATTTCCTGTCCGGATGTTTTCCAACCACTGAACCAAACCATTTCTCATTTAGCTCAGCAGACAATGGCCCACACTTTAGCCGAGAAGTTACAGCTGTGTCCTTCACAGCCAGTGTCAAAGGTCAAAATCTGTTGAAATGAGGGTTGTTTTTTTCTTGCTTTCTCACACTGCTGCAAAGTTAAAAAAAAAACAAAAACAAAAAAACCCTGGACTTTATTTCTGTTGCGGATTTACAAAATTCAGTATCAATGTTTATTAATGAAATTATAAATTATTATCACTTCCAAAATGTTCTTTCCTGTCCACATTTAGTATTAACATTTATGTATTTCCGACACAATCTTTCTGTCTTTTTTAAACCATCTATAAAAGTACTCTCAGTCACGATCAGTCTGTTATGGCACAAAAGGTGGAAAGCAATGCTTGTGGCTCAGTAATGGCAGTCACTTTATTATAAACAAAAACACAACTGCAAAGTTGAGTTAGTACTCAAAATGTCCGATAACCCACCACCAATATGAGACAATAGAATATGAACACAAAGGCACAATGCAAGTTAATAAATATTATTTACAGGGCATGAACAATAGCAAAATATATCATTTAATATATACAAATAAAAAACATTTAGAAATACAACCAATAACCATATCAATCCTTAACCAGGACAGATATTTTTTAGCTCAGTAAGCATGGAAAATGGGCTGCATATAAAAACACATTAAAAAATTAATTCAGTTCATTACATCCCACTGAGAGCAACATGCATTATTGCAAAAGTTGCTGACTTCATTCATCACCAATAACACTTTTCCATCATGGCTGGCAGAGACAATAACATGGATTATGATTTTAGCTTTCACCATTGTGATTAAAAAACAAAAATGTGAAAAAAACAACAAAGATTTATTAACGTGTTTCATAAACTTCATTTTTACTTGTGCAGTTTTTAAAAGCTTTTTCCACGGTAAATGAGAACAATAAGCAGTACATTTTCATTTTAAATCCAAATGAATGATAGTTAAGCCCACAGGTATCCATACTCCAGACAGATTTAGATTTAAAGTTAATTTAATCTGAACCAGAAGTTTGTTTCCAGTTGGAAAACACTTTAAGAAGAGTATTAATTTAAAAATAAAAGTTTCTATTACATTTATTTGAAAAACGGTATTGTTTTCATGTTTTCACTGGTATTTTGACAATTTATGTTTTTAAGGTTGCAAGTCCCATACTCAGGTTAAAGCTGAGACTTTGACTGGGCCACTGCAAAACATTCTTTATTGTCAGAAAAAACACATTGGTACAATTAAAGGTCACGTCAAATTTAAATCTGCCACTGAGGAAGAACTGGATGCTAAATCAATAGCAATATAAATCACGGCCCACATGTTCAATATCAATAGATAATACATCTAATATTCAACATTCAATAAATAGAACATTCACTGAACTCAGAGCCAAAACCGCACAGCATTCTGGGAGATGTAGTTTTTAGCCACTCTTTGGTTACCTAGCAACTCATTCCTTCTTTGGTCACCTAGCAACGACCTGTTGAGCAACGTAAGCAGCAGCAGTTTAAGGTTTTACCAACTGCTGAAAAATAATGATGATAATAATAAAACAACATGGAATAAAAACTGAGAATGAAACAGGAACCGTCCTGCAACCAGTTTGGCAATATTTCAGATATTTAAAGCAAAAATATAAAACATTAAGTTCTGCTACAATCGTCCAGCCCCACACTGAGGGATATGAACAACTTTGGGCCAAACTGTAAATGACTCGGAAAGCTGCATATTTTCTCTACGAGATCTGATCAACCAAAGAAATTTAAAACCACACAATACAAAAAAGAGCAAAATTAATGTAATTATTATTTAGAATATCCCAAATTTTGAACCCTTTAAATCAATCAGTGCTTCTCCTTCAGGTTGTGTCCCATCAGTTTCATGAAGGGTGAGGACACCTGTAGCCTTGACCTGGGCCGAGAAGACGAGGTGGAAGACGTGACCGCCTGTGGTTCGGTCTGTGTAGTAGAGTCTGTTTTCGGTTCTGCATCCACCTCGTCTCTGCTGGACGGGACCGGACTCGCAACGGGGTCCGACTCAGAGGACACGCCGTTCATCGCCGGGTTGCTGGACTGCAGGTACTGACTGTACTGACCAGGAGAGTACTTTAACAAACTGGTCTCCAGCCTGCTGGGTGGAGGGTTAGTCGAACTGTATGCCTGGATGGGCGTTGTTAGTCTGAACGATGGGTACTGGAGGGATGATAGGTAGGAAGGCCGTGAAGAAGATGGAGCCCAAGGTGTGGGCGATGAAGGTTCTGTCGGTGACAGAGGGTGAGTGGGTGATGTAGTGTTAACCGGTGATGAAGGTAGGACAGGTGATGAAGGTGGGGTGGAATGAAGATGGACAGATTCAACATCGTGCCTCTGCACTTCATATCTGTAGTTACATGAAGTAACGTGAGAATTAGGAACCAGTTTGAAACAAAGCACCAAACACAATCCAGTCGCTCATCCCATGGCCGACTCCTACCTGGGGAGCAGATCGCAGCCTACTCCTACGTCTCGTCTTTCCAAAATCTCTTGAGGCCTATTCTGTGTGGACATAAAATACTTCAGCTTGTCTTCTAATTCATTATTCTAGGAAAAGAGAAACAGGAAACAGCACCATCAGGTCATCATCATGCAAAGGACGGCAGTCACTTTACATGGAAAAAAAAGGCCATTTGACAGGAGAAGTGGAAAACACACACGTCGCTGAAAGACCGGGATATCCTGCGCTCACCAGGCCAACAAATCATCTGTTGCCATGCAGAAGGAAGCCACACCTTAATTTAAACACATTTCATTCCTCCCAGTCTTACCTCACACTCCACTATTGCGATTCTGTCAAGAAGCTCTGAAATGAACATGTCCTTCTGAGCAACCTGAGCTCGCAGAGATTCAACCTGCACAAAACAGCACAGTTACACACTTACAAATGCTTGGCAGTTTCTGAAGTTCAAAGAAAACTTAAATTTGGCATAAATAAGTTTTAACCTGCGACCTATAGCTAGAGTTGACCTTGTGACACTGTTTGAATAATTAATCTCACTTGTCCAGAAATGTTCATTTTATTTCTTGATGAAAAAAATAAATCTTTATTTTAACAAAATTTGAAGAGATTTGTGTTTCATTAAAGCCAAAATATGTCCTCTTTTGAGTAAGACGGGTCATGACAGTAAATCATAGCAATTTATGCCTTTTAAAAAGTCCTAATCTGTCAGAGGAGTATATTTTATCTGTTAGGAAGAAATATAAAACTTATCTTGTTAAAACAAGATAGCTTTTATAATGAGATGCTGCTCCTGAATTCATTTCGAAGCTCTGGCATTTAAGCACATTTTCAACGCTCCAGAAGGCAACTGATAAGCTTAAAAGTAGAAAATACTTTTTATTTCCTTCACAGGAGGTTGAATTAAGGTGCAGATTTTCTGATGGACAAGATGGACAGACGAGATCAGGGTTGGATTCTCTCAGACTTAATACTACATCAAACGTTTTGGCACAGATTAGCAAAGTGAAACTGAACCTAATAAAGTGTCAGGTGAGTGTTTTTGTTTTCTGTGCCGTCAGAAAGAGGATCAGAATGCATTCACATGCGGCTGGAATGTAATGAAAGTGACGAGAGGTCTTCCTCACCTCCTCAATCATCCCCTTGACTTTCCTCTGCTGGCAGAACACCATGTCGTTCAAGTGCTTGATTCGCTCGCGCAGATCCACGGCTTCTTCCTGCAGCTGCTGAGACCTAAAACAAACATTGAGGATCTGTGATTATCTTTTCCAGGTTTGAAAGTTTGTTGTTTGGAGAAAAATCAGAAAAATGTTGAAATGGTTGAGGCTGAAGAGGAGGAGGAGGAGGAGGAGGAATTTAATTTGTACTTTTTGGCTGCGGCTGCGTCTGTTTTGTCCATCAGCTCTAACAAACGGATACGCTGTTCGTACTCCTGCAGCTTCTGCTGGAGCTGGCTCTTCTCCTGTAAAATATTTTAGGTTTCACCTTGAAATAGATTTCAAATAGAAACCAAAGCCAAGACCGAGTCTCGTCAGAAAGCTGCCTTACCATCCCCATGCAGCTCAGGAGACGCTCCACTTCAACGATCCGCTGGTCTCGCTCAGCAATCTTGGCCTCTGCAGTCCTGAGGTTCCTCTCTGCTTCCTCCAGCCGTCTGATGTATTCATCCAGCTGGGCCTGTGTGAGCAGAAACATGCTGATGCTCTGCTCATGGGACTGATTCTGTTTGATCGTCAGCAAAATGTGATAAAAATCAAAGCGTCTGGAGTAAACATCATGTATTCCTGTCCTGGTGGTAAAGGGTTTTCCCCCTGTTATCTCTGGAAACAGACTTTGGTGAGCAGCAAAGAATGCAAACCTGTAGGTTTTCTATCTCTTCTCTGTGTTTCTGTTGTTCGCTCTGCAGTTTTTCCTCATACTCTCTCTGGAGCTTCGCGGTGAGATCCTGCACGGCGCGGATGTTTGCCTCCTGTGAAGACTCCACCTGGGCAACCCAAAGCACAGCACATTTAAGACCGCTCTCAGCAGACAGGAACATACTGAAACTGCACTGGGAGAAGCAGGAAAAGCTCTAATCTCAGCTCTGTTGTGCAGAAAAATAATGCTAGCCGAGGTTTGGGGAGTTATTCTGATGATGGGTTTGATTTTCTGTAAACTCATGCAGAGAAACTCCACATGTGAAGCATCTGTGTGTTTGGCAGCTGGCATGCACCCTCTCATCAGGGTGCCAGCTTTGCACATCAGCTGCAGCAGATGTTTGGAGGTCTTTGGACATGCGTGGATTTGCAGGATCACCTGAAGTCTGAGCGTTTGGTTCTCAGCCTGCGCTGCGGCCAGCTCTCGCTCCCTGTCCCTGAGCTTTTCTTGAGTTTTCTCGTAGGTGCTCCGCAAACTCTTCACCTCGTCTTTCGTGTCCACTCTGTTCTGACAGTTCTCCAAGAGGGATTTCTGCGAAGGGAAAAAAGACACATATGGCTTCTGTACCAGCGTGCAGCCGTCAAATAAATAAAAATTCTCACAAGACCCTGATTTGTTACCTGCAGGCTGATGTTTGCAGATATAAGGGAGCTGTTCATCTGATCAAAGTTCTCCATGGCTGCGGTACGAACCTTCACCTCAGACTCCAACGTTTTCCGGTGTGCGTTGGCAGCCTGGAGAGACGCAGGCTTTTTTATTATTGTTCAAGAGTTTGATGAATCAGTTTAATAACATGTTTCTTTTACGATTCTCTACCCTCATTTCTCGTGAGAGCTTCTCCATGGATTGCTGCATTCCTCCAAACTGCCCGTACATCCGTTCTCTCACTTTCTCCAGGGAGTCCCTCACCTGTTTGCAGGAACCAAGAACATGCAGATGTTACCAGCACGGAAACTTAAACTTCCTCGACCTCGTGAAGCGGAGGCCCGCTCTGCTTCTGTCCACTCACCTCCCGGATGTACTTCATCTCATCATGTAGGTGGTCGACGGTCCACTCGCGTGCCATCAGCTCCTGCCGTCTGTCCGTGCTCGTCCTCTGCACTACGCCGTACATTTTGGGCCCATGATGCTGCGCCGAGGTTGCCGGCGCCCCATTGGTTGTGTCTCTGAGGTGCTGAGGGAGACAGGATCACACCGGTCAGGTTTCTGCCCCCAACCTCCACTCAGGCTGACTTCTACCGTCTTTGAACTGAGGGTTTAATGTGTGGACATGCACACTTTCAGGTTTATGTGTCTGCATTTGGATGCACATATGTGTGTGCTTGATTAGGCGTTTGCAGCACTGCTGCTGGTGAGAAACAGGAGGCTGGTAACAAGCAGCTAAAAGGGGTGCAGAGCAGAGTGCACAGACGGTGTCGGGTTTCTGCAACCCAGAACATGAGCTTCTGCCATTTCTGCCTATTGTCCCTCGATCAGCCAATGAAAACAGACGCACAGGCACAGCATGTCACTGGGACGTCCACATAACTAAATAACAATAGTGATCGGTGCAGATAAATTACCAAACTGTGAGTCAGATCACGTTTCAATGAATATTTTATAGGTTTCTTGAAAGAGAAATTGGTTTGGGACTCCTAGTCCTTTAAACAGAGTGAATCCAAAATACAAAAAAAAAAAAAAATCACAGTAGAGAGCAATTAAACATTCTTGCAGAAATGCAATATTCGACTACAAGTTATTTGCTCTCATTGAATTCAGTGCAGTCAGATTTATGAACATTCTCACTGCAACACTTTCGTAGAGCAACAACATCACTGCACAGAAGAAAAAGAACATCAGAAATGTCTTTGTGCTGAAATAAAAGGTCCGAAATACAAGAGGCACTCTTTCAAACATGTTTACAACTAACTGTAAACAATAGAAAATATTGTCTGATTAAAAAATGTCCACAAACCAAAGATCAGAACTCATTTTCCTCCAAAAGAATCTCTGGTTCAGTGTTTTGTTTTTTGGCAGGAATAGGAGCCAAAAAGCCACCAGAAAAGAACTCTGGTGTTTATTTAGCACAGAAAAGACAAAGATTAATCACATAAACCTTCCTGCTCTTATCATTTTAGGAGATTAAAAAGACATTTTGTGTATTTTAAGAGGATCCAATGAGCCAACATTTGAAGTTTAAAGTTATTTTGCAGTATAGTTATTATTTAACCCTTTTTCAGTAATTTTGTTCCGTACGCCAGGTATGAAACAATTATTCATCAACAACTAAACATTTAATCTGCTCTACTGCCATCCCACAGGTATTTAAATGATAGCATCTCCTGGTCAAAGTTCAAGTTTTAGATTCCTTCACAATAAAAAGAGACACTAAGCTGCGTTTAAATGAACACAAACATCTTTGCTTTTTCCAGAAGAAGAACAAATTTCAAAATAAGCAAAAGCAAAACAAACAAGAGCACCAATATGCAAAGTAGATCCAATTTTAATTAACGTTTCTGGCATTTTTAATTAAATCATGTTTTAATGGCAGATTGACTAAATGTTACATTAAAACATGATTTTGTTTGTTCATCCTGTAACAAAAACAGAGCTGCTGAATGGTCAAAGAAATCTCCACCGTCTGCCAATATAAACAGAAATGAACTGCTACTGTTGACTATTGTTCCTGGAGAATGCATGGGAAGATATTAACGACATCCTGAGAGTCGTGCAGAGAAAGAAATGTGTTTGTAGGGCATCAGGAACTTGAGTCACAGTGGCTTTTGTTGCGTCTACCTGCTGAGGCGACTCCATGCCAGCCGGCCGCTCTCTGTGGATGAGCCCGTTCTTCGTCTTCCATGTTTCCTTGAGACGATTCTCTGCCTCAGCCTGCGGACAGAAAACATTTTAATTAAAGACAGACTCTGTGGGTGATTTTTCATAGGCTTGGTGAACAATCTGGGGTTAAATACGGTGCCGTGGAAACACAAAGGTTGCATAAATGTACTTTTGTCGTGACTCTTACAGGCTGTTGTTTATGTTTGCTGTTATGTTTATTGCTTAGATTGCATCAAGAAATGTCACAATATGCTGAAACTATATCATAATATCCTTATAAACTGAAGCAAAATAACACACAATAATCCCAATTATTCGATCATGACCGATCGTAATCTTCATTTAGGTTTTCTCTGCATAATTTGAACGTTCAGACCGTCATTATGCAAACACAGCCTGAGAAAGATGTTTTCACAATCAGACCACAAGCAAATAAACTCTTGGACTCAATGGTGCAGGATGTAAATATCAAGTTTTATTTGTCCTGATGGTCTGTAATAACGTCTGCATGTGTTTGTCTCCGTAGAGGAGTCGTTATTGGGCCTGCGGTTTAAATTGAATAAATATTTGGAGCTCTGTTTGCAGCTTTAGATCAGAGGAACAAAAAGATCATCTCTGTTCATGAGCCATGTTCGTAAAACTCCTGAACCCAGTAATCTGACCACCACTCTGGGGTAATTCTTCACCAAAACACTGAATCAGCGTTAATCTCTTTTCACAGACACTCAAATTGTTAAACATACTTTCTGTCGCATTCATTTCATGCCTTAATGAAGGTAATGTCTCCTTCAGTCCAGACTCCAGTAAGGCTGCTGACCAGTGAGCAAATCTGCACCAGTTATTTCTTCACTTCAGTAACTGATCAGTTACTGAAGAATGTCCAAAGAAAATGGACATTCAGTGACTGACATTGGTCAAAAATACAATTACTCTTTTCTTAATTTAGCTTTTTTATATAAAGAGAAGATTTTATGATCCATTTATATTTGAATTCACTTTATTTTTTGAATTATTTAGTACATTTATTATCCTTAGATCAAACACTGCTTCCTCAATCAATCAAATCCCTTCAGACTTTGACCTCTGCCTGTTTCTCCTTTTGTTACACATTGGCACAATAAAGCCTGTATTTCATTTCTATTTTGTTTTATTTTGACATTTATCAGCGAATGTTTTCACTCAACCCGGAGCAGGAAAACTAGAAGAAACTTCCAGAGAAACTAGTTAATCTAGAGAGATTACTCACTCAACATTAAACTTTTAATATTGGAATCAGACCTGGAGAAACTCCTGTTAGTTTACAAATCAGAACAAACTCAGACAGTACCATCTAGTTTTATCAGAACAAGAATCCAGAGAAACCCATAGTAGTTTATAAATTACAGACCACTTATTCTTAAGCACAGGGAATTCCTTTATACTTTTTCTTTCTTCTTTTACTTTTTCTTTTTGTTTGTTGTTTTGCTGCCTTGTTGCTGAAAATGTGCTTTATAAATAAAATTACCTTTAATCAAAGTGGACTGAATTTAAAAGAGTTAATGCACTTTTTAGTGAGACAGATGAGCAATACATTTTTTAGAGATTTTAGGTTTAAGATGTGACCAGTCATCACTCACTGCCCTTTGCAAAGTGGAAAGAATACAATGCCTGGATTCTTGACATTTTATAGATGAATATCTAAATACAACATTCCCGCAATGAAACGTGAGGGTGGCAGCGTCACGATGAAACTAACTGCAGTGAAACTCGATAATGAATGAGATAATTGTTGTCCAGAGATGCTTCCCATCCAGTCTGATTGAGCTTTAGACATTTTGTTTTGAAGAATAGATATAAACTTCTCTCTGGATGTGCAAAACTGCGAGTGACTCCAAAAGATTGGAGCAACTGAACAAACAGATATCACTCTTCAGTGTTTTATTTGTAATTTTAAAAAGTGCCAAGATATGAAAAAGTTGAATGGGATGTGAATAAGTTTGGAAAACTCTGAACTAAAGAAATTTGGGCTCAGAAGTGGGAGCAAAATGACTGAAGAGTTTGGAAAAGCTCCTGCCATCTAAAAACATCTACAACATGTTCCTTTATTACACAACGTTTAATCTTCTGTTTCAAGACGGGCCGAATTAATAAAACTTACAAAGTAGTTGGAGAAGGCGGCGATAGTTTCGCAGAGATAAGAATGAAGAGGAAACAAGGACAAAGACTCCAGTGTTGCCTCTCGGACGGCGCAGGGCCTCACATTTCATCACCACTTCATCTACAGAAGACGCGGCGGCGTTGAGACGCGGCGGCGTTGAGACGCGGCGCGCTGATTGGTGGAGATGTGAATTCCAGCAGATGTGAGGGAGGAAAAGCTGCATTTTTATGCGTTGGTAGCATAAAGATGGCTTTGAATTCAGCTTTGAATTTGACGGTGTTTGTCCACATAGTGGGGTAATGTTTACCCGGGTTTTATGGCCGCATCCATACAGTTCAGGTGGTGAACAGGTTTCCTTTGTTTCCACGCCTGGAGAAGCCGAGGCTGACCTGGATTACATCAACGCCGTTGTGAACTACTCATGCGGCGCATAGTTAAACACCTAAATCTGGCTGAGCTGGGAATCACATGGCTGCTTTCTGAAGGAGAAAGCTGCTGATTTCCAGCACAAACAGCAAAGTCTCATTTGACTTCACAACACAAAGACCTGAGATGAAGCTGCTGGAGCAGAATCGTTTGGAGACGCTGCGAGCCGTGAAGGAGGCAAACCCTAACTCTGCAGGTTTAGCAACATTTTTCCAAAAGCTACTTTAGTCTGTGCGTTACAATGATGATGCATTAGAGTCGCAGTTCTGGATTGTATCCACAATGAGTCAAGCTGCGGGCCACACCCTTTCTAATTTTACAATGTAAAGCTGCTTCAGTGTGTGTTTCTGTCCAAACATGCATCTATCTCCCCCTCTCAGAGTATTTTGGTCATTTCCTTCCTCCTTGATTGACTTCATAATTTCCTTTTATCACAGCTGGACAGACCTAGATTTGAACTCGGTGGTAATTATGCCAAAGGTCACTGATAGTAAAGAGGTTTGCAGCACCGTGAGCCTTCAAGGTTCAGATAAAGCCTGAGAACAAACCTGTGCAGGTAAAGAAACTCCTTCAGCTTTCATTCCTATCTGCAGAAACCTAAGAGTTATTTTGTGAACTCATGGCCTGATAACCTCATTCTTCACATGATGAAGCAGATTTTTGCTCAAAACACTCTTCTGATCTTTATCTCCTAAACAAAAAGAAACTGCAATCAGCAGGAACGCGTTGCTTGTTTTAGCCAGGGGCGATGAGGAGACTTTGGGAAGTTTTTTTTTATACACTTTTTAACGATATGAAAACTCTGCAAACAGATGTTGCAACTTCCACAAGTCAACAGTGTTCCAACTTCCAGTGATGAAATTATTTCAAGCATTTTGACTACGGCACCCTGTAACAGTTTCAGATTTTTCCCTTCAATCTAAAAGTCTTTGTTGTGTCAGAGGCGCCTCATGATACGATTGTCAAACTGTGAGGCATCTTCTTTTTAACCAACAAATCATTTGTCAGTCTCTTATTAGCAAAAGGAGGCTGACAACAACAAGACCATGGAGGTCTTGTTCTTTACTGGACTTTTAGTTTTTAATTTAAAAGTATTATTTTATTCATTCAACAGGTTTCTTCCACTCCTTCAGACAATCCTCAGAGAGATCACAGGAGAAAGCAGCTGCCCGGTTCTCAGGCCTGCTGGTGTTTGTCAAGCTGAGTGGCGTTTCAGAGCTGCAGCAAACACACCGAGGCCTACCTCCTCCACAGGCCTGTCACAATAAATCAATTTATAGTGTGATGAATTAAAACATGCCCAACATTTTCCATGACCATTTTCTCCTTTCTGTCTCGTTCTACAAAAAATTAAATGACAAAAATCTTCAGTCTGGTGCTTTGGTCTTAAGTAGCTCCTTCCTTTGAAGGAAGTTTCAGTTTACAGAGACATTATGCTTCTTATTTGTTGTTTTGGTTATGTGTTTTGTACATCTATAATGTCTCCCAGTTCCATTGTTAAATTATCATTGAAATGCAAAGTCTATTCATCTGAAAATCTGCTCTTGCATTATTACATTATTCTAAAAATGTCTGAAAACAACAAAATTATCGTTTAGTGCAATAACTTCTGGCACAATTTATCATCCAGCTAAATTTGTTACCGTTACAAGTCGAGTGATTCCCTCCAGGTTGTGTTTCCTGGAGTCGGTCTGATCTCTGTCTTCTCATTTTTCACTCTAACAACTTAAAATACCGGAAAAATCCCAAAAACGGATGTAACTGCTTCATCTCTCGATGTGTTTTCCTGCACAGCAAGAAACAGGGGCACGTCTCTGTAACTTATGCTTTTCGTTCTAGAAAGATTAACCTTAAATACTATAAATGTGCATTTATACCCACTCATCCCAGTTATCTGGACAGTTGGACAAATAGATGAAGTAAAATATTTAAGGCTGTAGAGATTCTCTACAACACAAAAAAGAAGCCAAAAGGCCAATAGTATCCCTGAGCTCATGCATACTATGACTCAAAACATAGCTGCTTCCTACAAACCACAGAAGAAGAAGAAACTACTGACAATGCTGGTGTTGCTACAATTCGTGTTTCCCCATCAGATAAGCTTCCCCCACCGTCTCTTTCAGCCCAAGTGACAAAATACACCGTGCTTGTTCAGCACTCTTATTGAGAAAACTACGGACACCGTAAAAGATTCAAACAACGTGTTTCGGCGAAGTTATCCCATTTTTTTTCCAACTGCACCCTAATCAGACACACATAGTGTGATTTAGGGTTGGCTAACCCTAACCCTAAACCTAACCCTAACCCTCTGGGGGACCTGATGGGGAAATGCGAATCAATGTGCCTTCAAGTAGAATGTTTTTCTTCAAACACTTGCACACTTAGTTTCAAATAACCTAGGACCAACTGTCAAGTTTCTCCTGGTTTGATTTCACTGTGCATTCCCAACTTGAAAAGAATTATCTTTTTTGTGAAATATAACTGGCGTTCACTCAAGGAGTCTTCATTTTAGTTATATTTATTTTTATATGATGCTCCAATCATACAGGTGAAAACCCTCAAAAGAAACAGAAACATCTAAATTACATCGTGAACTCAACAGGACAAATACACTGTGAAAACTCAAAATAAATTTCCACTGATTTAAATCATTTAATTCTACAGTATAATAAATTAACATTTTCTATCAATATGTTCTGCTTTAACTAATAAACACCAAGTGCATATAAATATATATACATTTCCTTTTTTTTTCTCATGAAAACAATCAAAAGTTAAAGTCCATGTAAAACAGTATTAGGAGCTTACCGGCTGTCCTTCACAGTTTTTTAAAGATTTGCACAGTTTGTTCCTTGCATGTGATCAGCACTGTTTGTCACACATGCTGTGCCACTCTCTCAAACAAGAGTGAGAGGTCAGCCACACCTAAAATACTTTTCCAATTGCCAGGAGATTGACTCCACCTGGTTCTCATCTGTAGCAGGCAGAGCACAAAGAAGCAGCAAAAGGGGAGTGGCTTCTTGGCAGTTCACCAGAACACCAACTAGTGGCTTGGCGAGGGCATTACACCTTTTTGATGCGTACCATTACTGTGTAAACAAAGATTGTAATTAGAACATCTTCATGTAAATGTGTTAACAGAAATGGAACAAAATTTCCATTTTTGTTGTAACAGAAAATGGAGTCAGGCCTCCAGTTTCTAGCGGTTCCTTGGTTTGGATCATGAAGTGTGTGCAGAGCTTCGTTGGGCTTCCAGGGCTAAGCAGCTGTACTCAAGTCTGACGTCACTAAGTGTTGTAAATGATGTCACCGCTGGACCACAGCCTTCTCTGGAGGAACAAATCACATTTCTGTCTGATGATCAAACTGACAAGTCTGGATGTTGCAGCTGCCAGAAGAAGAGCAGCTCTTTTCTGACTGCATTTACATTTAGCTGGCTGCAGATGGAGTCATGATGTGGCGCTCTCCTCCGGGATCTTAGTTACAGTTAAACAAATTCCTAATATGTCAACAGCTATTTTCCACTCCTTTTGCAATATGACCAGCGCACAAAGCAAGGTCCATAATACTTTAACAAAACTGAAAAGAGTCCCAATTTTTAAGTTCATTTAGGGGAGAAATTATGTTCCAGGCCTTCTGATCCAACATCAGTGTCTGACCTCTGTAATAAGGAATGACCTTTGCTTTCTGGTAGAATGGTCAAACATTTCCACAAAAAGGCTTCCTTACAAAGGTGAAGCTGGTGACTCAATATGTTTGCAGTATAGTGCATATGTAAACATGGTTTTCTTGCAAAAGGAGGGGCAAGAACTGCCAATTGACCACAGCTCAATAAATATATCAAAATTACACTTATGTGCACAATAAAGTTTGGATTAAAAGTACAAATGATCTAATATGTGCAATATTCACTACTTTGATGCTGTTTGATTTGGCTTTGCTACGAAGAAAACTTTACTCCTACCAGAACCGGAGCCATAAAAACGTATCACAGCTCAACTTTATCAGAGTTACTTTAAAGAGGTTTTTTTATGGACTTTTGGTAACAGATAAACTTTATTCACATTGTTCTGCAGGTTCTGCCTTGCTGCCTTTCCTGTTTATGTTGAGCAACAAACCCAACAAAACATCTGGAAATAATGTAGAGGTCATTCGTTTTTACATTACTGAGACATTTTACATATTTATTAATAAGCTTATTTGCAGAAATGTAAAATTCTCTATTGCTTAGGGGACTGTTTTATTGTTTTAAGACTGATTAAAAGGTCGAAAATGATCGCTCCAAACAGAAATAAACACCTTCCTTTGTGTGGACCGTCACGGTCCCACCCTCCCAAACCAAAGCACATTCAGAGATTACTCCAACTTATCAGTGTGGAGGTGCGGCAGCGAGGCGACCACTCTGCTCTCTGGCCAAGGTTCACTCAAAGCATGCCACAGTAATGCAGTCAGGCTGCTGCACGGAGAAAGCAAGCGCAAACCTCTGGAGAGGCAAAAAGCAAGCAGAGGAAAGTTCTCTGTTCTCACGGTCGGACTTAGGACCAGATCCACAACACAAACAAAGCCTGTGTAAGAGCCACGTACAGCAAACACCCACACAGTCTGCAGCGACCGTAATTCACACTGTCACTTTTAAAAATGTCCGCCGCCTTTCAGCAAGCTAATAATTTTATGGGGTTTTTATTAGTGGCTGTGTGTCTCCGCTCAGCTGGTGTGTGTTTCTGAGTATTTTCTCCTGGATCAGCCGAACTAGCAGAACGCTCTGACGTTATCTGTGAAGCAAACGTGAAGCAGATGTTTGTGTATTATTAAATCCACACGCCCTTCGGTCATGATTGCATAACTGGTTGATAAAAGGCATAAATCTCAGAGTCTTCATCTTGGAGCTGAAGAATCAAAATGTGGAGAGATTGAAGGGGCTTCCCACTTACAGTAATTTAGTTTTCTTGAATTAAAGCTTTAACTTAACTTGATTTAATAAAGCCTGAGCTGCCTGAATCGGACCGGGGCGGCTTATTGTGGAATGTCACTGTGAGAAACTTCAGACTTACTGTGTCTGCAGTTTTTTCCTCCTTTTTTCCATCATTTCCTGCGAGCAGAGTCAACCTGAGGACCCTCCGCTGGAAAAGAAGACATTCAGAAACACACTGCAGTGAGAAAATGTTAGCTTGAAACAATCCAGAGTCACCAACATCTCTGCAGTTTATTCATAGATGATGAACACCAAACAAAGTTTATGTAAATGATGTGAAACTGTGAAAAAGTAACATATGTCACGCCACGGACAGCACAGTAAACGCTCTGTTATGGTTAATTTCCAAGCTAAAAGTTCAGCAGTTAATGCTGATTACTTTTGCAGTGATAAAAAAAGAAAAACATCCAGCATGCACTGCAAAAACATAAACTCTTTCCAAGTATTTTACTGCAGATGCAGTGCACTTGAAACAAGACAAAACTAACTTCTTAGTAATGTTTCAGCAAGATATGGGAGCTTGTTTTAAGCAAACAACACCTTAATATTGATCAAAAAGTATGAAATTATTTCACTTATAATAAGATATTTTTCTCATGTTTCAAGTGAAACAATCTGCAAGTGGAATAAATACTTGTTCATCAATATTAAGGAATTGCTGACTTAAAACTGGCGCCAAACTTCACTTGTTATCTAGTTTTGTCTTATTTCAAACTAGACCAAAAACACAAAGCAGGATTTAGTGTTTTTTGCAGTGTAGAAATTAAAAACTGGTTTACTTTATGCAGGAGGCGTTGAAATAACCATGACATCCCTGCCTCCTTCCCACTGGGCTCCCATTACAGGCTTGTGCAACATAAACCATAAACCCTGAGAGTCAGGGGGCTGCAGAAGTCAGCTGGACAGACTCAAACAGAGGGAAGGAGAAAAGAAAACTGGAGAACAGAGGGAGGGTTTCGTCTTTCTTACCTCGCTGGAAGGAGCAGCAGAGTCCTCTGTGGTGGTGGTGGTGGTCACCCCGGGTCTGGAGCCGTAGCGGAGCATGTCTCCTCTGCTCTCCGGTCCTCGCCTGTCGTCGTCTCCCTCTCTCTCTCACTCTCCTTCCTCTCACTCCTTCCTGAGTTCCGCTCAGGCTCTCAGTCCCACCATCTGCCCCAGGCAGCAGCGGAGAGGAGAGGAGGGAAATCCCCGTCAGTCGAGCTGCAGCTGGGAGTCCACAGGTCCACTACCTCCACAGAGACCCACCCTGAGCCGGCGAACTGCTGTGACTGCACCTCAGTCACCTCCCTGCCCCTGTCTGTGTTCCCATCAGACCTGTCGGGCTACATTTCACCTGCCTCCCTCTGCTGGACTTCCACAGGGCGGGTCCTCCTGCCCCGGGGCAGGTGGAGCGGCGCGCACCACACCCGAGTGGCCAGCAGGGGGAGCTGAAGAGGCCTTTCAAAAGTCACGTCAGGAAACTTTTTCTGAGTCAAACATGTTCTGGAACAAAAACGATCAACATGTTTTCAGTTTGTTCCAGCTGTGTTTGTTCTGTGTTCTGTACACGGTACGTCTCCATCTTAGCAGGTGCTCTTTATTCCGTTCCGCCCCCAAACACGGCACAGCACAAAGGTTCCTATCCACTGATAGCTTGATGCTGCAGTGTTCATCTAAATAGCAGCAACAAATCTAATATTACCTCATTTTATGAGCGGAAAAGACCCAGAACAACGGAAGTAGATCAGCCTGATTCAAGTAAATATGTCAATTTACTCACATTAGCGCTGGACAATAAACCAACAACAATACGTATCGCGATAGACACGCGATCAACATCAATAGATAGTAGAATATAGATCAAATATTAAATAATTTCACTGAACGTCGAACCAGCTAAACCTATCCGAAGTCACATCTTATCTCTTCCGGTCTCCGAAAGACCCGGATGCAGACCAGGCCTTCGGACACAGCTCTTAACGTAAGTCTAGGAAACGTGACGTATTACGTGAGAACATAGAATTCGGTGGGTTTGATACCTATGACGTGTGAACGGACGTCATAAACGTCAAGGTTTTTCATTCCTTCTGTTCCTCTAGCCCTCATTTTGCACTCGTTCGTAGCAGAGCTTGGATCAGTAGTTGTTGTTGTCGTTGCTGTTTCAGCAGAAAACTCGAATTTCATCCCCAACCAGTGAAGCCAATAGCAATAATGCCAAGTGGAATCCATTCACCAATCAAGACCATCACCGTCAACACCCTGAGAAGGATAATCCATCCACTTTTCATCAGCTTGACCTGGATTGAGTGGATGCGTCTGGCAACAGGAGACCCCACTCGCGCCTCCATCGACGTCCTGTTCAGGATATTAGACGATATCTTGGAGCTCTTTGTCGCTAATGCTCAGTATAGACTCCAGAAGGACACTTGCACCATTGAAGCCATAGAAGAAATAGTTGGCAACAAGGTCCCTGAAGCATTCGCCAGAGTCGCAAAGGTTCAAGGAGATGCACGAACTGACCACACTGACAATTTAAATAAGCTCATTGTCAACTATGTGCTGGAAAGAGTCGAGTCCAGCTTTAACTCTGACTCTGACAGCAATTCAAGCAGTCACGTTCAAGCACTCAATGAGATGCTTAACGAAACAAAAGTGATGATTAAAGATCTTTTTGTTAGATTGCATGAAGAGCAGCACAAGAAAGCTCCTCCCGTCCCAGTTGAGCCACAATCTATGTTCAAGCGTCTGACCGGGAGGATAAAGGGGTTTTTCACGAGGTTCACCAGAAAACATTCTGCTAAGGTTGTTCCAGTGAATATACCAGAAAAACCCAAAACCTATTACACCGTTGTTACGACCTGGATCCCCATAGATGCTTTGCCAAGCAAACCCAGGTGTGATGGACTCTTACCTGCGGACTCCATCAGTGATCAAGATGATGTGTCAGACATTATTTATCTCGAAAACTTTGAACGAGAGAACCCGTCAACCAAAGACTCGGAGGAGGAAGAACTGGAGCCCAGGTTTAAAATCACACCAAGGGAGGCCTGGGTATATCCAGAGTCCCTGCAGGAGGAGGAATCAGAAGGTGAGCCCAGGTATGATGAGATCACACCTGTTGAGCCATTTATTCCTCCATCTAAGTAATTTTAAATTTGTTTCTTACCAGTTAGGTCGTTTTATAATTGTTTTTTAATAGTTAGTTAGGTCATTTTATACTTGTTTTTTCGTGGTTAGTTAGGTCGTTTTATAATTGTTCACTTAGTTAGGTCGTTTTAAAATTGTTTTTTAATAGTTAGGTCGTTTTATACTTGTTTTTTCGTAGTTAGTTAGGTCGTTTTATAATTGTTCACTTGTCGTTAGTTAGGTCGTTTAATAATTGTTTTTTCGTAGTTAGGTCATTTTATAATTGTTCACTTGTAGTTAGTTAGGTCCTTTTATAATTGTTTTTTCATAGTTAGGTCGTTTTAAAATTGTTCACTTGTCGTTAGTTAGGTCGTTTAATAATGTTTTTTTCGTAGTTAGGTCGTTTTATAATTGTTCATTTGTAGTTAGTTAGTTAGGTCGTTTTACAATTATTTGTTAGTAGTTAGGTCATTTGTGTAATCTTTGTTGTTTGTATAACAACAAGGGTTGTATACTGAATAGATATACTGAATAAATTAAGTCTATTCAGTATGATAAATACAGCTAATTGGGGCGTGCTAACCAGCACGCCCCACGTTTGGAGCCCTCAGTCCTCTATGCGGACATCACGGGTTCAATTCCGGTCCTGGCGACCTCTGCCGCATGTCTCCCCCTTTTTCTGTCTGCCTACTGTCGAAAATACGAGCCACTGGTGCTGCAAAAAACTCTTCGGAGAAAAAAATGATGAAGAAAAAAATACGGCTAATAAATAAAAAATGAGCAAAAATGCTTATTTTAGGTAAAAGGCTAACGTTAGCATGAAGGCTATAATTAGTATGTTGAGTCATTAGCATGTTGATATTACCATATGGATGAGGGTTATTGACTAACACAAAATCACTCCATTCATGCTGACATTAGTGTACAAATTAAAATTATACTAAATCCTAAGTTTAGCTTAACTGATGCAGGTAATATCAACATGTTAGTGACTATATGGTAAGTGATAGCCATCCTGAAATGGCTATCATTTCATTAGCCTTGCACCTAAAGTAAGAATTTTACATAATTTTATATTTATTAGCAATATTTACCTTAGTGAATTGATTAAGTCAATGAAAGCAAACAATGCTGGTGACATCACACATGCTACTGAGATCATTCAGTATGCTAATATTAGTGTATAAACTAAAACTATCCAAAATGCTTTGGTTAGCTTAAATGCTGTTGGTAACGTGTGGCACAAGCAAGTTAATTTACAGTGACTTAATCTATTCAGTGTGATAAACATAGCTAATATATATGAAATCATGTAAAATCCCTTGTATTTTACATACAAGGCTAATGTTAGCATGAGGGTGTTGCCATCCATTCCCTAAAGAATGGAGTCGTATTTGGCTGTCAAATGTTGGGTGAATTTGTTCCGTATTTCTACAAGTGTCCGATACACACGCCTATCACACACATATCAACACTGAGTGAAACAATAATGACCAAAATAAAACACAGAAAATATTAAGGTCAGCTAAATTGTGGTGGTGGAACCATATTCATGTCTGTACTTTAGCTGCTAAGCATATCTGGGCTAGCTAAGCAAAGTTGGTGGAATAAGCTAACTCACTTGTTCTTTGGTTACCAAGCACCAACCTGTTGAGTAGCTACATGTGCAGCAGTTTAAAGTTTCACCACCTAAAAAACAGCGTGGAGTCAAAACTGTGGCTAACAGGTTGAATCCCAAAATATTCAGTAGTCATCTCATTTTACCAACATATTTTTTCTGACTAGAAGTAATATTTACGTTATGACCAGTCAGGGTCCAGATGAATGTGAGACAGAATCTATTGAGCAGGGATGTCCAAACTTTTCAAGTTGGTCAAAAATCCCATTCAAAACTTAAACTGTAATATTTGATGTTAATTGTTTTCTTGTTGTTGTTGTTTTTTTGTTTTTTTTTTTTACCAACTTAATAGTTTCATTAAACAACAGAAATAGTCTGATTTTGGGCGGGGGGTGGAAAGAGATGTGTAGAGACTTTGAGATTTTATAGATTTGTCCAATTAAATGAATTAACAGGTGCTTATTACAAAAAAATAGCAATTTAAAGGCATGATTCAGGTCACTGTGTGCTAGGAACTGGAAAGAAAACAGTGTGGTGTGAGAATTAAGTTTCTTGATTGAATATAAATAATTTTACCCTAAATCTACCAGCAGATATGAATAATTCAACTGCATCAAAGGAAGCCCAGCTGACTGCATGGAGTCGTTGACTTTCCTGCTGAGCAAACATTTTCTTTTTCACTAATCAATAAACTGGATGTCCCTAACAGTAGGAAAAATTAAAGTTAATTTATCCTCTGGAGTGATTTTTTTTTTTATTTTATTTTACTCTGTCTCACTCGGTCAGTTAATTTTCTTCAATTTCTTATACGTTTAACACTTCATTCTTCTTAATTTGTTTGATGAAAGTGTGACCTTCACTGTTATCAAGCTTTTAAGCGCATCGTTGACACATAAATGCATCAAGAATGAAAATCTAAATCAATATCCATTTTGAAAGTGAATCCCTTTAATCCTTTTAATGCATCTCCTTTTTAAACTTTAATTTGTGATTGAATATTTTCCAGCTGCAGCTACTTGAACTTGAAATGACTTAAAATCTCGAGTCAAAGCTTCAGAAACTAGTTTCCATCACGGACACAGTTGGTTCAGGTGATAAATAATTGAAACGGCTGACAATGGATATTGATGAAAAGGATCCCAGCCATTATTTTTTAATGCTAACTCTACCTGGGCCCTTACCGCCAACAGATAGGTCCCCGGGTGTTTACACCGCTTCACACGCTGTTAAGGCAGCAGAGCGGAAGGATGATCATCCTGTGAGTGACTGCAGCCTCTCCCTTTTCAGAGAAACAGATGAGAAGAGACTCAGGCTGCCCGACAAAAGCAGCTGAATGTCAAAGCTGCCAGCAAAATAAAACAGAAGTGAGTGAGAAGAAAAATCTGTACCACAGCTGGTTAATCAGTAACCAGAAATCAAACAAATAATTTTTTTTTTTTTTACATCTGCATTCAGTCCAAACCCGTCCAGGTCTTTTTTTTTTTCTACCGTTTTAACATCTTGTCATGTTCACACTCTCACTGCTTGTGACGTCAGCGCAGGCCTGGAGCGTTTATGCTGCTACGCCCATAAACTCCACAGCTGCAGGAGTCGAGCCAAGAAGCAGAGAGACGTGTTGACGTTTTCTGAAATGCCTCACATGTTCACCTCACACAGCTTCGTACTTTCCCCACTCAAAGAGAGAA